ACCAGCCACTATGTGGGAAGCTCTTACTTTGTGCTGATACGGGTGGGTGGACGAATTATGAATGATAATATCTGTATGTGCCAGCTGTTGTTAACTTTTGTTATTGTTGAGTCCAAAAAATGTATAGAGTCGTTCTTTTCCTTCTCCATTGTGAATGTGATAGAAGGGTGGACAGAACTGATGAAATTCAAAAACTTAATCAACTGTCAGTTCGCTCCTGTTAAACATACCAGGATATCATCTACATATCAATATACGAAACTTCTCACCAGTGGGTTACTGTGTATTTTTTTCTCCAAATCGTTCATGAAAATCTTTACCAGAATAGGACTAAGTGGGTTTCCCATTATGGGACCTTTGCAGGATGAGTTAAAAATTTCATTGAATTGGAAGTAATTATGTGACAAACAAACCGTAAGCAAGTCTTATATTGTGTAAACCGGTACATACAGATATTATCATTCATTATTCGTCCACCCTCCCGTATCAGCACAAAGTAGCAGCTTTCAACAGTATGATCCACAGACCTTCTCAACGGCGAATTTCAATAAAGAACTGAACATAATAAAACATATATCCGTCAACAATGATTACGATAGCAGTCTAATACATTCTTTATTATCAAAAAAGTTATACAGCCAAGCTTTGAAGGAATTTTACCCAATTCAAAGAGAAGAGGATAAACGTTATAGAACCTTAACTAACTAAGTCCAACCCACTACAAATATTTCAGATTTTCTGCAAAATAAGGAATGAATATTGCTTTCAAAACCAACAACAACGTAGGCATGCACATTAAGAATAACAAAGATAAAAGTTCAGTTTCAGTAAAATCGGGAATATATGAATCATCATGTGGGTGTCATGTCCGATGTTTTATATAGGTCAAACTGGAAGAACGCTCAAAGCCCGCATAAAGGATCACAAAAATAGTTTCCAGAATGGATAAATACATTCCACATATGCCACTCATTCAATTCACAGAGGGACATGGCATGAAAGGGATACAAGCCCCTCCATTTCCGGAAGAAAGATTTGAAACTTAACCTGTTGGAGAGTATGTAAATAAACAAATTCAAAAACTCTCAATATTTCATGAATGACCAAACTGAATTGACTAATTCGCTATTATTGAATCTGTTCATTTAGTCAATATGTTAGAGTATAGAATGGTTGTAATTTAGAAGTAACTTATAGTTTACGCTTGAGGAAGCCATTGTATAGCGAAACACGTGTCGCGGTTTTTGTAAAACCCCTTATAGTGAAAATCACGCAATAAACTGTATTAATTACATTGAATTATATTCGACAGACATGAATATATTTCTCCTACATTCAGCAGCAGGAGCACACTGAAGTCAATCGAGTAGATCACCAGAAGACCAGTTTCGAGATATTACCTCTCAACAATATGTCGCACCCCTACGAACGACAACCGTCAGAAGTCGAACCTTGTGCGAGCTAATAACAAATGAGGTCTTACCTTTTAACGTGGGATTCCTAACACGGGTTGGACGATAGCAAGTGAACCACCCACCAATTGAGTGAGTGAACAAAACACCCACATCGAACCGGCTACCGACTTACCAAATGCAGAAAAGATTTTACCCTATCGACAGTTTGCCTGGGACTCGATTGACTTTAACGCATTTAACAGAACCTACAATTTATCAATCAAGTTCATAGAACAGTCGGTAGTTGGAAGTCAGTCGGAGACATTTATCTTCTTCGAGAAAACCGATGCCTGGGTTTTTCTGGCATTGAATTGAACCTGGTTACTTTCCCCCCCCCCCCATTCGAAATCACTTCTAAATCCCAATTAAGATATGCAATCTCGTGCTGCCGGTGAAGATGTGCCTTCGTAGTCGATGTCCTGGAATCCAAATGAAATGACGAGACAATGTGCTGTCGTCAGCAAAGCAATATGTTGAATTCTTGGTTTTTTTTTCCAATAAGTCGTTGATATACAATAAAAAGAGGGTTGGAAACAATACTATCTTCATTCGAGTTAGAAGGCCGTCGTAGTTTGGAACTGCACCCTAAAGTTTAGCCAGCACGAGTGGCTGGCTTCTTCAGAGGTTTATTCACCTTGATGATTCACCGTGGACTGGGGATTTCTAGTTCGTAGGTTGTATTTATGTTAACTCAGGTAGTCCACCTGTTTTGATGCGTTGCCATTGGCCTGTTAATGACGTAACATTGCACTGCGCTGTTGCCACTTCAGCATCTTTCAGTATGGGATTCCAAATACGGTTAAGCGTTACCGCCTCCTCTTTTCTGTTGTAGTTTTCCGTATGTTTATGGATTTCTATGGCTTCCCGAACAAGCCGACTGTGGTATTTATGATCGGGGGTAAGTAGTTTCACATCTTCAAACAGTATATCGTGATCTCCTTCACTAAGCGCGTGTTCCGCTACTGCCCATTTGTCTATTTGAACTAATCTACAGTTTCTCCGATGTTGATTCAGCCTTGTACCGATGAATCTTTTGGTGGTACCAATATAAACTTTTCCACAGGTGCATGGTATACGATACAGCCTAGCAGTTGATAGTGAATCTCTTTTGTCTTTCGCTGACCTAAGACTTCGTTTTATTTTTCTGGTGGGCTTTTATTTTATGCTTGCCTTAGATTGTTTTCATTCTGTCTGTAACTCTAGGGTACATACAGAATAACAGGTAATAACACTTCGTCCAATAGCAACGTATAAACAAGAGAGGCGGACTACCTGGGTCAACATAAATACAACCTCCGAACTACAAATCACCAATCATCGGTGAATCATTGAGATGAAATAAATCTCTGAAGAAACCAGCCACTCATGCTGGCGAAACGTTAGGATGCAGTTACAAACTACGATGGAGTTGAAACCCAAATATGGAAGAAAAACTCGAAGTTACATGTTTACTGAAATTTTATATGTGATTCACTGATTTAATAACGAAAACTGAGTTATATTTTAGAAATCTTCTTCTTCCTGAGGGAACATTCACTGAACGTCAGAAAGCCAAATATATATTTAACATTTACCGTGCCCAGTACGTTGTTGACAAACTCTCAAATACAGTTGAGGATTACAATTTGGAGTTCAAGGAAAACTCCAAGAGTTCCGGACCTACCACTTTTGTTGAAATAATGTTTGCAGGGATGGCAGTAAGTACTCACCTCATTAAATGATGATATCAAATTCTGCTTATACTTATTACCTGAAGAACATTTTCGTAGTAAAACTATCGTTTGTCTGCAGAAAATGAACTTCGCCCTTTATTTTCAGAAATGTTTTTATTTTTTTTTGCATACAATGTTAAAATCTATATGTATATTATTTGAAAATAATAAAGACCTTCATTATTATTATTATTATTNTATCAGGTAATTCATGCGATATTAAATATTAAAAATACCATGTTTTCACCAAAAAATATTACAAAATGATTATTATTTTGAAAACGATGAGAGATAGGTACAGAATATGGTTCACAAAAGTAACTTGGACTTCGATGCAGAATTGAAAAATGATATAATACATAGAGTATTCCATTTGAAATTTCCAAGTTGGTGTCTGTTACATGTAGATGTGGCAACAACACGGCGATGAAAATATTTTCAAACGATAGATCACAGCCATCTACATCGGTAGCCAAAATTTGGAACTCTCATCTTTTTTGTTCTCTAGATACGTCTAATAGACCATCGAATATGGAATACCCTGTATAACATGTATGTGGGGATCATAAAACGATTTGCAAATAAACCTGAATCAACTGAAAAACTGAATATTCAATGAATATGACAACTTTCAAAATAAAAACTAATGAGAAAGCTGCAAAAGAGGAATCTGGTTTGTGACAGAACGCATTTTTGCGTTGTACCATCTACCATCTTGTGGCGTTGAACCCAAATGTTCTCATCACATCGAATTACAGTTTCCTGCCATTAATAGTATTTTTTTACTGATATAATGGGTGTAAAAAAAATGTCATAAATTGAACCACAAATTCTGGGGTCAAAAATAACACGATTGGATAAAACTTACCTTAAAGCAAATGTGCACACAAAAAAGTTATAACCCTTGAGAAGTTCAAAATGAAAATCGATTCTTTTCAATATTTCATGAACTGTTCAAAATTTTTCAATGAAAATGGGTCCATGGCTTTCTTATCGTAAGATCATCTTTTTCATATAAAACCACGGAGTATGTTCAGCCCATAAAAATTTTAGAGGGCATTGGACCTCTAAAACCCCGCAAACTTTTCTATGTGTTAGAATTAAATTATTGTTGTGACACCATTAGTTTGACACATCATTTTTTTTATCGAGATGCAGGCTCTTTTCATTATCCTTTGAAAATTCATTGGTTGGCGATTCAACATTTGAAATTCCTATGAAAATAGAACAAACAGTTGCTCCAACAATTACATAGTGTCAATTGAAACTTTCAATTATTGACCATTTTGAAAGATTTGAGAGAAAATAAACTTTTTGTTACAATGGTTCATACTTCGGCAGGAATGCATTTAATGCTGGACAGGTTTCGTTAGGCTGAAACAAGGTTTCAGATACATTTTTGTTATTCTGGTAATCACAGGAGACTGCCAAGGAAATGGTGCACCAGCTGCAAGGCGTTCTGCGGAATAATATCCCAATCTCAATACACCAAACAGACTGTTGGGTCCCAATTTTGGTTTTTGGGCTTGCTGGCCCCTTTCTATTGGACTGTATACGCTTGAATAATGCGACGTATGTAATTAGGTAACACACTTTATTCTGTCACACCTAGTTTACAGATTTCACAGAATGTCGAATACGACAATTGGTTTTGGATAAAGCATGATCGGCTTGAAGTAAACGAGTTGCCGAAAAAATATTGTCACAAAAGAATATAATTAATTCTGAAATGAATAAGTGTACATATATAGTTACAAGAAAGTACAAGGAAGTATACTAGTATATTTTTTTTTCTGATTGATTCAGCCGTTACTTGATGGAAATCCACGCAATTTTTGACTTCTCTGTTGATCTGTCTCAACCCATTGATTGGCCAAAACCGTTGGCGAAGATTAGAAAGGATGGTTTGTGGCCCTGCGTGATGTAAATCTTAATGTTCCTTTCTAAAAATTAATGTAACGACATGATCTCTAGAAGGAAGAATCATTGGATGTTTCTCAGCAAAGGATAACTCCGACTGAGTTAACCTTCCTCCAACTCGAAGTATACCTTCTTTGTCTAAAAACGGAGTTAATTGAGCCATCGCACCTGATCTGATGGGAATTTTTGCCTTGAGATCTGAAATTTCCTTAGAGAAGTGATGGCCTTGAATGCAACTAATGATAAGCTTCAGAGATTTTTTCAGTTCTTCAACAGAAAGTGAAGCCGTCAATTTGTTTTTTGGCTTCAAACAAGTATGTGCGAAGCACAAGCAATAGGCTATAACTCGTTGCAAGTGACTAAATTTAGAAAATCTTTTAAAGATTTCATTCACTTCTGAGAAATTATTCAACGAAACAAGAGTCACTGGGGATCTCTGTTCTGGCAAAGATTCTGTAAATTGTGTTTGAGAGTTATCTGAGTATAAACCGATGTTATAGAGAATGTCTTTAGCAATTCCCTGCTAACCTTGTTTTTTTCTATGTGAGTAACAGTTGAAGTAATGAAGTGATCTAACCTTTTTGTCCTTAGTCCTGGCTGTTGGCCAATGTGAATTCGTCCTATTTTTTCTTACCACCCAGCTTTACCTGCGAGTAGTTGGAAATTTCCTTGGTGTCTTCAGAGGGGAGCGAGATGAGCGATTCAGCGAGATGAGGAAAGTATCCTTCCTTTTGCGATGAGTTCTTCAAGTGAGACATGCGATGTGTGACGGTCTATGTGGAGCCAGAGAGAGAGAGCGAGAGAGAGAGATATTGAGCACGTGCACGTCCTTCCGGCTCGAAGGACTACTTTGTTGGGTCCCAATTTTGGTTTTTGGGCTTGCTGGCCCCTTTCTAGTGGACTGTATACTATTGAATAATGCGACGTAGGTAATTAGGTAACACACTTTATTCTGTCACACCTAGTTTACAGATTTCACAGAATGTTGAATACGACAATTGGTTTGATCTGTTTGATTTGATGTGAGAAACACTAAGCTCATACAAATGAGAACCTTTGATATTCTCCACAATAAACTAACACTTTGTACTTAACTACAAATACATCTAATAGACCTTTCTTCTGTTATGCTGAAACCATACTGTACTGAACGAGATCACTCTTAAGCCAGAGGTAAGGAAAACTGGACACACGCTATTGGTTCCCGAAGGTAGGTAAATATCCCTTGACAACCAGACAATTACACAGTGACGTAACAGTGTTTAAGGCAACTCATTTCAAATTTTATTTATATTCCCAACACAGACGATTATTTCTTTCCATTGATCGTCGTTTGAGGAGACGGGTACTTTGTGACCGCAAGTTGCTGGTAATAGTGGTCGTCAAAAAATGGATACAAACTATGAGGATATTTAAGAATTTGTCGAAAAAACTCTAGAAGCAGTACAAGGGTAAATCTCGTACATGCTCAATTAGATGTTAGTCACATGATAGTTTTGACAAATTTGAAGGCACAACAGCTTCATGACTTAACAACCATTCAAGAATAACTAAATGAAGATTATCTTGGTTTTTAATGGAAAACAATATCAATTTCTGAAAAAACGTAGGTTGCGTAACATGATCAATTTTTCTTTAAAAAATCAATTGTTTTCTTGCCGATGTTTCGAATTCAATTAAATTCTTCTTCAGGGCTCGAAGAAGAGTCTTTCTTTGGAAGACTCCCTCATCCTTCTTTTTTTTGTATCAAGATGAAGTAGTAGAAAGCCAAAAACTTTCTTTCCCATATTTAAGATATTATGGTAGTAAACTTGAGAATAGTGAAAGAGTTATGAAACAGAAAATGGGTATCACCTTAGTTTATCCACTATATCACCGCTTAATTTTGTTATTCACGATAATATTTATTAATGTTATTAACTTTCACAGTAACTGGTCAGAGTATTCACCTGATTTTGGTCTTTCGTGTGTTACGCTTGACGGATGTTCAGTTCCTTACCTACATTTACCTCATAATGTGTCAATAATTTTGGGAAACAGAACATGAGGAAATTGATTTATCGATACGAATGCCCTAGTGGAGTGTCTCATAGGTTTCATCCACTGATACTGATTAGTCTAAATGAAAGTTTTTGGATTCGAAAATAACATAACTGCCAATTTTCATGTCTTTCAATAAACCAAATAAAGATTCTAATTAGCAATATTATCTGAATAAATAAATGAATTCATGAATAAATAATAATATTGTTTTAGTCGATTCAGNATTGTCCGTTTCCAATCCTTCTAGAGGAAATTCAATGACATCATTCAATTTGCCTTTCAATCTTTACGTTGGAGTGAATCTTTTTAAATATATAACTAAATTATGGGGAAACTTGTGGATTGATAGGGATTTTGTGCATTTTCTCCTTTCTTTGCATTTCGCACACGTTGGTTTTTCATTTCCATCCAAAGTTTCTTCTCTTGTAAACGAATCCAAGCACTGCCACAAACTTAATTGGTCGGTTCTTTATGGTATGACGAGAGACAACTCCCAGAAAGGATCAAAGGTTACGGATGAGTGTCCATAGTGTGTGCATTTCATCGAGGATTTCAATTAACCAACTAAATTAACCACAATCTTAGAGTTATGCATCATCAAATATGCGAGCCATGACTCTTGTGCATTTTTGGTGTCGCTCCATTTTTCGTCAATCTTCGTTAAAAATTGGTTTATGTTTCTCATCAATTATATCAACGTCTTCATGTAAACCTTCTGAAAGATAACGAAGAAACTCATGGGCATCTTGATGGGAATTACCCATGAATCGAGGAGCAAAACTTTGAATCTGATTTTTCAAGGAGGCTGTATTTACTACTCTATCAAATGAATCTTCTGACCACAACTCCTTGATGACTTCTGCAAACGCTTTGATGAAAGCACCCTCCATACTAGAAATACTAGTATTGATATCTTTCATGAATTCATCCTTTTTCAAATATTCCAATAAGCATCTCTTATTTGATAAAAATTGGATTACGCTGTTCATTAAACAGGTGTTACCAATATTTTTCAAACCATTTAACCCAAGGGTTTTGACTCAAGAATTTATCACTGAACAATTCGAAATATCTTAGAAACCCATTTTAGAATTTTGCTATCAAGTTATCTATTTCGCGAAAAAGCTACTGCAATAACGAAACATGTCCTGATCTGTTTTTTGAAAATAAAGTTAGTGAAGTTGTGATCCTGAGGTGTAGTTTATGAAATTACTATGAATCTTCACCAAGTATTGGTTGAAAATTAACGAACTGAAAATGGCAACGAGTAGTGAATAGCGAACTACATATTTTGGTTTTACTTCTTATGTATTTCACAATATTTTTCAAAATTTGTCAGCCTGGAAGGCAAAAATTGAATAACCAGCACTACTAAAGTATTCATCAATTTTCTTTCATGAGAAGGATCAGATCAGTTGCAACGAAAAAATATTTTCAGATCAGAACTTCCACAAAAAAGCAGACGTCGTTTCCAGTGTTCAATGAGAAGTTGACGATAATCGACTTATTCCCACCGCTATGTCAAATAGTTCGAATTCAATTATGTTATGGAGATACAATTAAGAAAAAAGTGCATTCATCTAAATCAATCAATATGCAATTGATCTCAAATAATAAGAATGAAGGTTTCTTACCAACTTTTGGACCAAATCTGGTTCACCTGTATAGGCATAATGAACTTGAAGGATATGCAGGTAGCATTATAATGTCCATGGATACGGAAATAGAAGAAGGTGTAATGTCTGATTCTAAGAAAAGTACATTGGTAGAATCTATGCCACCACTGATTGAGGTGAGTTTTTGAACTTCATTATTCCAGTAACTATGACTAACTACCGTAGTTATAACGGCATCCTTATCCTTATAATTATAAAGTATTCCAGTTCAACTGAATTATTATATTAGTTCGACGCAGAAATATGATTTCTGGGTCGAAACAAATGTTTTGGGAACATTCAGAATATAAAAAATGTTTTTCGCCTAATTTAATGTCCATATGGAACTTTGCTCAGATCTAAAAAACATGCAGTTTGGATCGTATCGTGCCGATGAAACCATTGACAAATTCATAAGAGAATGAGTTTTTAACCACTGATAAGGACGGTATTTGTGAAAAACCCTCCGAATTGGATGATGTTCAAGTGACAGTGAATTGGTGATGTTCACCTGACGTGGAGCAATAGATACGGAACGGCACATTTTTCGGTACAATTTGAATTTTGAAATAAAATATGGAATTTCATTCCGATAATTATTTTCCATAATTTGAGCGGCTATGACAGTCAGTTATCCATGAAAGAGTTATACACTAAAAAAAAGGCAATACCATTCAAACAAAGGAAAATTGCATTCCATTCACTGAGCATCTCTTGATGGGTATCACAAAAGATTAATTTGGTGAATTGAAAAATAATTACTCAAACAGCGATTTATCAATAGCTTCAGAACTATGGCAATGTTATGAAAGTGTTTTTCGAAACATGAAAAAGACAAAACGTGTATGAATCTTAATGAATTGTGAATCATCAGAAGACTATTCAGATTTGTATTTGAAATCGGATGTATTGATTTCATGTCATATACTCGAACGTTTTCGCGGTATACTAGTATGTCTGAATAAATATGAATCGGATCTAGTCCACTTTTTCACTTCTTATGGGCATGCAATGATAACTTTTCTTCAAAAGGTATAGTGGAGGTGACAGGGAGTTTTCTGATCGGAAACATATTGCCAATAATCGTTTTCTGCCAAATTAATCATCATAATTCATCAGTTATTTGGATGCTACCAACTCTATGGTCACAGTATGTCCCAAGCATTACCGACAGGTGGATTTTTATGATTACCCTAACCAGAAATTCCTATACCGAATATCATGAGTGCTCCAGTTGATTCTCCTGAAGTTTATGTTTTGGAAGTAGATGTCCTCAATCCTGAAGAATTTCAAGGCCCGCATTTTAATCTGCCATTTCCAGTAGAAAGTGTGATTCCACCCGATTCCAATTCAAAAATACCCAAATTATTACTAAACGATGAAAGAAAATACATTATTCATTAGAGGGCTTTGAAGCAAGCAGTTGAAAATAGTTTGATAGTGATGAGAACTCACAGAGTTTTCTCATTTAATCAACTACTATGGGTGGAAAAATATGTAAACACAAATACACTCACGATAAATCAAGCAACAAATCATAAAAATAATTTCTAGACTAGAACGAATGTTGTCTTTGGAAAAACAATGGACAACTGTCTTTGGAAAAACAATGAAGAACGTTGATGATATAAATGATAATTGACTTGTGACTCATTGGGAATAAGGTTCACCTCCTCACAAAGGAACAAGCGTTCAAAATCGATCATTCACAAAAGAAAGGTTTGGAACTCAAAATTTTGGAAAATTTGGAGAAATTTTTACTTACCAGATAATCATACTCATTCCTTTCACAAAACAATTATCTATGCAATATTCATTTGTTTCTTCAAGTGTTTTTTTTCTACGACCCAATGAATGAATTATTGTATCCAGTCTTCTCAGGTAGTTGAGTGTATGAGAAGGTTGTAATTGATATTCTCAGAGTACAAAATGGTCAATAAATATAATTGATTTATCATTTCTGTTTGAGCAAGCTTCTGTATAAGGTAACTTATTTCAAATAACTAATCATCAGCGCAGCAAGTAACCGATGATCAATTCACCTTCCGCAGAAGAGTTATTGATGAATAGACATGCTAATCTTGATGAAGATTAGGATTGGTGACAAGTTCAGCTGTTGCTCAAACGACTAACATCTCTAAAGATGATCTTTTGCTTTTCGAAGAATTCTCATCTCCACATATTTTGAAGATTCTATCTCTCTTCTATCATTTTTCGATATCAGGTATCATAAAATCAAAATTGATTTCACTAACAGAAAAACGGCAACCAAATCTGAACATATTTATGAGTACAATTATCAATAAATTTATTGAATCATCATAATTTTTGAATTTTTAAAGTCTCAGCGGTAATGAACATTATTAATTGCCCTGTTCTCTCCCATCTGAGAAAATGTATTTGTCAAGACTGAAAAGAATGTAACGGCAGGCTGTAGCTATGAATTGTGCTTTTTGTGTATCAGTCACATTTGTCATGTATATACAGGCTGATTCACGGTGGATGGCACATTAGACGTTTCTGGTGAACCAGACAACGGATCACTTTGAAAATTTAATGGAGGGCATATTCGGACATTCTCTAGCCAACTAAAATATTTTCGACAATGCGGTGTTGCCGCTTCTATT